CATCGCCTTACCTCGCTGGGGCTCGCCTGGGTCTTCGTCGGTGCGTGTCAATGCGATCACGATGAAACGCGCTGTAGCGGCCGGAGCTGACGTGTACGCGGTTGACATTCGGGAAGCCGAGGCAGCAGACAAGGGAGGGGATTTACAGAAATTGCTGACCGACGTACCGAGTGATCTGGCAGCACTGTTAACACGATACAGTGACATTTTCCCGGATGACTTACCGACGGGACTGCCACCTCAGCGACCGCACGATCACAGGATAGAACTGGAACCGGGGGCACAGCCAACAGTACAGCGACAGTTCAGACTGACCCAACCCGAACTAGACGAACTAAGGAAGCAGCTCGATTACCTGCTCGAGAAAGAATTCATTCGCCCTAGCTCGTCGCCCTTCGCCGCACCAATACTGTTCACACCGAAAAAGGACGGGGGTTTTCGCATGTGCATCGACTACAGGGCACTGAACAGGGTTACCATCAAATCCCGTTACCCCATCCCACGAGCCGACGAACTGATCGACCAACTGCGCACAGCCCGGGTTTTCTCGAAAATTGACCTCCGGGGAGGCTACCACCAAATCCGCGTCAGCCCACCCGACTGCCCTAAAACCGCATTCCGAACACGCTACGGATCCTTCGAATACACCGTCATGCCATTCGGACTGACCAACACCCCCGCCACTTTCCAAATGACCATGAACGAAGCATTCCGCCCACTTTTAGATAAGTGCGTCATCGTTTATCTGGACGACATACTGATTTACAGCCCTGACAGAGCACAGCACTTACAAGACATCGAAGCAGTTTTTAAAATCCTGAGTGAGAACCGCCTACTGACCAAAGCATCTAAGTGTGAGTTTTTACAGGACCGCCTGGAGTTTTTGGGACATGTTATTTCAGCTGCAGGAGTGGAAATAGACCCGAAGAAAATTGCGACGATTCAGGCTTGGCACGCGCCGACCAACTTGACCGAGTTGCAGAGTTTCCTGGGGTTCGTCAACTACGTGCGCCGGCTCGTCCCCGACATGGCGAAGCTGACTGCCCCGTTGACCGACCTGCTGAGGAAGGGGGTTGAGTACACGTGGGGGGAGAAAGAGCAAGCTGCCTTCTCGGCTCTCAAAAACATTTTGTGCTCACCGCCCGTGCTTCACATCGCAGATCCACACCGTCCGTTCGAGCTCGTCACGGACGCAAGTGACATCGCTGTGGGAGCAGTACTGTTGCAGGACTTCGGGAATGGCCTCCAGCCAATCGCGTACGAGTCCCGCAAGCTACACCCGCCCGAACGCAACTACCCGATACACGACCGTGAAATGCTGGCGATCGTGCATGCGTTCAAAGTTTGGCGGTGTTACCTGACTGGCGCCGACGTGACAGTACGGACAGACCACCGTTCACTACAGTACCTTCGCGCCCAACCGAATCTCAACCCACGACAGATTCGCTGGTTGGACTATCTCGAGTCCAATTTTCACTACACCGTCACGTACAAAAAAGGAGCATCCAGCATCGCCAACGCTCTCACCCGCCCCACCGCCCAACTCCACGCCATCCTACTCGCCCAGACCAACCCACTTTTAACTGGCCTATTCACCCACGGATACCGCACCGACCCATTTTTCACGACCGGAAATTCACAGCAACTGGCAGAAGCAAAAGGAGTCTATTACGTAAAAACAGGCACCAACCGCATTTGGGTACCCGCGTACTCACTACTGAGGGAGCTGCTACTGCAAGAGGCACACGACGGGATTACCTCGGGACATTTCGGGGTAGAAAAAACACGACAGCAACTGCAGCGGTATTACTACTGGCCGGAGCTGTTGACCGACGTACAGCAGCACGTGGGCTCGTGCCCTACGTGTGAGGTGATAAAGAGTTCAAGGAAGCGGAAGGCGGGTCAATTGCAGCCGATCCCACCGCCCGAACGCGCCTGGCAGCAAGTAACCATGGACTTCGTCACAGGGTTACCTTCGAACCCTGGGGGTAACGACGCGGTGATGGTCGTCGTGGATAGACTGACGAAGATGGCACACTTCGCAGCGTGCAAAAAGTCGATCTCAGCCGAGGAGACCGCTCGCCTGTTCATCGCAGCCGTTGTTCGCCTGCACGGGATACCAGCAGCAATTATCAGCGACAGGGACACGAAGTTTACCAGCAACTTCTGGAAGAACCTCTGGGAGCAGTTCGGGACCAGGCTACAGTTCAGTTCGTCGTACCACCCCGAGACCGACGGCCAAACGGAGCGGACGAATCAGACGATGGAGCAGTTGATTCGTGCCACATGCGACGACCCCACGACTTGGGAGCAGCAGCTGCCGCTGATCGAGTTCGCGTACAACAACGCCACATCAGCCACGACGCAGCAGTCCCCGTTCTACCTGAACTATGGGCAAAACCCCACAGTGCCCATGACGCCGAGTCCGGACAACCCAACGCCACGTGCACAACAATTCGCCGAAGTCCTACAAGCTGCCCGCGCCAGAGCCGCCGAAGCAATAAAAAAGGCCAACGTCATCGCTAAGCGCAACGCTGATCGCCACCGCCGCCCTGTCACGTACCAATCTGGAGATTACGTGCTGCTCGACACGCAAAATCTGCGACTGCCCGACGTACCGAAATTACGACCGCGCTACTGTGGACCGTTCCAAATCAGTCACATGATCACACCCGTCACCGCACACCTACTGTTGCCAACCGACTGGTACATCAGCCCTTCGTTCCACGTCAGCCTACTTCGCCCATACATCCCGACCACAAGTCAACTGCCGCGTCACCGCCCACAATCAATGACTCGCCCTGCATCGGAGCCGATCATCGAGCCCGAAAAAATCCTGAGCCATCGGATCCGCCACCCCACGGGAATCAGGAGGATTGAATTCCTCGTTCGCTGGAAGGACCGCACGCCAACTGAAGACAACTGGGTGCCCCTGCCCAACATCGAAAACCACTCTGCCCTGCAAGTGTACCTGAGGAGCCGGGGATTCCGCGATATACACGCACTCGCGTAGCGGAGGGGGCTTCTTAAGGGGGGGGGGTAGTGTAAGGAATTTTCTCGGCATTCCTTACGGAGCCGACTACATCGCGTACAGCAACCGCCGTTGTTCGCCCGTTACTGCTAACGGAACTTCGCCGACTTCGCGCGCACTGTTTTGCCAAACCTCGCACTGCTGGCATGGCCGTATCGGCCTACGCTTCGGGACTAGCCCGAGCCTCGCTCCAGCGTAGCACTAGCAAGCTCGCACGCACCGCGTTACCGTTTTGCATGTTTCGCGTATAAATGTTCTCTGATGCCTTCGCTCACATTTTGTACTCGTTTGACACCTTAGTGCAATTCTCGCTACTTCGATTCATTGCACCCGTAACATTGACCCAAAAGTGACAAAATGCAACAAATTTGACAAAATAACAAACTCATGCCCGCTGGTAGAGGACATCAAGGAGATGCTGGAAATCCATATTTGTGTGCAAATGACCGACAAATTATGGAGTTATGAGCCAAACCATATAGAATTTTGACTTAGCCATTTTGACATTCTGCTTGTCAGAATTACACCAAAGTGTCAACAACTGTTAGTTTATATACAAATAATGTAGAGCAGTGGTTGCGACGTCGCTTTCGTGCGACCGTCGATAATCCAAACCGGTAGTGTAACCACTCTTGCGCCCATTTCGTTGCGCCATCAGGTGGTTTGGATTTTGTAAGGTCCAACACCCTTTTGCGCCGAATCCGAGTCAAATCCGTCTCGCCACGGGCAAAATGGAGTTTCGCCAAAAAAAACGAATCCCGGTCGAAGCAGAGGATCCGAGTGCTGCTTCCGCCTTTGGCCCGCCCTTCCCTCGTCAGGTGGTTTGGATTTCTAGGGATGTACAGCCCATGGCCATGCCATACCAACATAACCAAAACCAAACTCCAGCCTTGGGATGGTCGCGCGCGCCATGCCATCACCACTATCTCCGCCTCGCGCCTGCCTTCCGCTCTCCGCCTCCTGCATCCTTCCTATAATTCGTCCTTTTCGGAGAGCGCGGATGCACAAGTCTGGTAAGGTGATCGAAGCGGAGTTCGAGGGGAATGATCAAGCGGAGGTTGGGGAAAGGCTTGGCGAGCCTTGGGATTAGCTTCGTCAACAAATGTTAAACGTAGTGCGTGGGGTGTACGTTTGTGTGCGTTTTACAGCGGCCTTTCTACATTGGAAACGGCTGGGTAGGGTTGAGAAAATATAAAGCTCGACGCATAATCGTGGCATCAGCAGCAAAAGCTCAAGGTATTTTTTTCCTCCACCAACGCGAGCATCACTCTCAAGCTATCCGCGTGTGCAAGTTATCCTGGAAACTCTAGGCATCTCTCCAAATAATGGTTGCTTTAGGCGGAGCTAGACCTGCTCGTTGACGCCTATTATTTTTCCAAAAAGGTCGCGTTTTTTCGAGGGCACTGAGTTAAGGGGTCTGGCATTGGAACTTTTTCCTGCGGTGTCCCTTTGCTCTGAGACTCGGTGAGTAGCATCGCAAAAGAGTTAGCGCACTGCTGCATGTCGTTTGACACACTCGTATCGACTTATCCGTCGCATTTCGGCGTGGATCACGTCGTATCAATCGCCGTCCGGTCAGTTTGCGTCGAGTAGAAATACGATCTGATAACTGATCGTAGTCGTGAAGACCCTAGCCGTTCGGCAGCACTCATTAGGTTGCAATGTATCAGGTTGTCTCCGTAGATATTCCTCTCTTACATTTCTCGACTTTTCGTGCTTTCACGTTCTATTAGGGCATACATTCGCGCTGCTAACGTTGCCTTTCCTCGGCTCAAATGGTCGTCCATTTCACGGCCTGGATCCAATCGCGAGCTTTGTAAGGCTATAGTTTCTGCTCACTACTCACACCATCTCCAAGCCATTGTTGATGCATGGTGTGATCTTGCTCCCGTTTGTGTTTCCCCCTCTCGACCCCCACACCCCCGCTTTCCTCCCAGCATTTCTGTGGTTCCACCTCAGCTGACTCAGCATGGCGGAAGAGCCAGTCGATCCCGCTCCACCCGCCGAGTCCCCTCCACTCGTGCAGGCTGCTCCACCCGCCGAGTCCCCTCCACTCGTGCAGGCTGCTCCACCCGCCGAGTCCGCTCCGCCATTCGAATCTGCTCCACCCGTTCAGGCTACTCTAGCCGTAGAGTCAGCTGCACCCGCCGAATCCGCTTCACTTGTAGTGTCCACGCCACTCGTCGACTCCGCCCCACCCGTCGACTCCGTTTCACCTGTAGTGTCCACTCCTCCCGTGGAGTCCTCTCCACCCGCTGCCCCTTCCGCGGATGTGTCCGCCACTCCGCTGCTGGCGGAAGACGGCAGTTTGGATGCCCAGGCGCAAAATCTGACTGAAGAAGCGGAGAATCTAGGAGGCGAGGTGAAATCGGGAGGGGAAGGGGAGGGTCCAGAAGCGGGGGAGAAGTCGGGAGGGGGAGCGGAGGGTCAAGGGGAAGGGGAGCGTCCTGAATCAGGCGGAGGCTCCTCAGGGAGCGGAGCGGGGGTTCCGCGCAGCGCGGATGAGGTAGCGGCAATCAGCGCAGCTGTGGCCGCCACAACTAGCGGATCCGGCGGAGCAGCAGAAAGCTCGGAGGTAAAGCGGGGGAAGGGCGGGTGGGGAGGTCTAGGAAGCGCGAGTGCGAAGATATCGCGGGTGCGACTCGATGACGTGGCAGAAGACGGAGCGGGGCAGGGCAACGAATCTTCGCGGCTCAGCGGTCCCTCAGTGGGGGAGGGGGAGAAGGACATGCGCGTGCCTCCGCCGACTCCGCGCACTCCGCGGCCGGGGGAGGAGGGGTGGCTCGCGCGCGTGGGGCGCGGGGAGTCGTGGAGCGAGGCGCTGCTGCTTCCGCTGACGGCGGGGATTTCGGATTTCGACGTGGTGGATCCGAAGCATGCGAGCAGCGACGCGCTCATGCGATGGCGCCGCATGGCGCTCGTCAGAAACGCGACGCGGCGCTTCCGATACACGGCGGACCTGCAGCAGAGACGAGAACAAGAATCGAAGCCGCCCACTCCTAAGGTATGTTCGCATCGCACTCGACCCCCCCACTCTCTCCGCGCGCCTTATCCCCTGAGCTCTCTCTTTCTCTCTCTCTCTCTCTCTCTCTCTCTCTCTCTCTCTCTCTCTCTCTCTCTCTCTCTCTCTCTCTCTCTCTCTCTCTCTCTCTCTCTCTCTCTTTTCGTATCACACGCACCTTACACACCCCCCGTTTCCCCTTTCCCGATAACTACAACCATCCCCCTTTCTACTCCACGTCGCCCCACCCCAACCCTCCTGCTGCTTTACTCCACCTTCTGCCCACCCATGTAACTTCTCCTACCCTTCTCCCCTTATCCCCGTCCCCCTCCCATCCTCCCCTCCCTCCACCCTCCGCCTTCCCACCTTCTTCCGCACCACCCCACCCCACCCCACACCCGGGCTTCACCACACCACCCCTTCCCAGATGTCGACCGGCCTCTCTCGTTTCCGAGGAGCTGCCAAGGCGCTCAAGGCAGTCGCGCGCTTCAAATCAGGTGCGCCCACCCTCCGCCCTCCGCCCCCCGCCCTCCGCCCTCCATCCTCCGCCATCCTACACCCCGGTTTCTCCGCCAACCACTTCCGCCCCCGTCCCTCCCCGTGCCCCGCAATGGGCGCACCCTCACCACGACCTGGCTGGTTAGGAAAACCGTGAAGCTTCATCTTGATTTTGACCCCATGCGCCCGCACCACCAACTCCTGCGCACGTGATACAAGTTGAGTTTTGAGACGTCTGAATAGTTGAGTTGTATCACGTGGCCCCATGCGCCCACACCACGAACTCCTGCGCAGCGCACACGCCCTCCCGTCCCCAACCCTTCTCGTTCCCATCCGGTCCTCCCCTCACCTCTTCCCTCATCCCTCATCCCACTTTCCCTCCTCCTTCCTCCCCCACTCAAAGTCCTTCCTTTACCTTTCCGCTCCCTCAAACCCCTCATTGATCCCTCTTACCCACCACCGCCACTCTCCCCACCCCATCCCTGCCCCCTCCTTTCCCCCCGCCCGCTTATTACCCCGCAGTGCTCCCCCGCCTGTCAGATGCAGCGTATAGGGCCGCGCGCGCGGAGGGCTTTGGCGTGAGCGCGAAGCAGCTGGCGGTGATGGTGGGGGGGCAGGACGCTAGCGCGCTCGACTCGTTCGGGGGCGCGCAGGGGGTGGCGCGGCTGCTGGGGAGCAACGTGGCGGAGGGCATAGGCGGGGGGGAGGGGGACCTGATGCGCAGGCGCAAGGTGTATGGTGCAAACACGTTCCCTGAGCAGCCTCCTAAGACGTTCCTGCAGTTCGTGTGGGATGCCATGCAGGTGAGAGACGCCTTATCCTCGATCCATCCCTCGTGTGCGATCCATCCCTCGTGTGTGATCCATCCCTTGTGTGTGATCCATCCCTCGTGTGCGATCCATCCATAATGTGCCTGCCCGGTCCATTGTATCTATCTATACTTGCATATATCTCCACGCCCCATGCGTGACTGACTGTACACATGTATCACGACCCATCCCATCCCCATGGCCGTTACACACACACACACACACACACACACACACACACACACATGCATGCAGGACATGACGCTGTGGATCCTGGCGGTGTGCGCAGTGGTGTCCCTGCTGGTGGGCATCATAACGGAGGGATGGGAGGAGGGGTGGTACGACGGAGTGGGTATCCTCATGAGCATTGTGCTCGTCGTATTCGTCACTGCTACCAGTGACTACAGGCAATCGCTGCAGGTCCGTGCACTTAGTGTTTTGAGTCGATTCTAAGCCCGGTTCTTGTGTTTCTCGTCCTTGTCATTGTCACGGCCCTGATCCGTCCGTATCCCCCTCACTCCCCATCTTTCTGTCCCACTCTTCCAGCCCTCCCCCCTATCTCTTCTGCCCGCCTCACCCCCTTCATCACTTCTCCCCTCTCTGACCCCTCCCTCCGTTCACTCTCCTTCCCAATCCTGACTCTTTTCGTTTCTTGTCCCTCCCGACTCATCATCTCTCCATCCTCCCCTCCACATTCCTCCCTTGTGTTCTGTCGTGCATTGCCACACTACGCTGAAAAATATTATTTCTCATCTTGATATAATTCAAGTCTGTGCAACCCTGCACTATCCCTCACTCACTCCCTTGACATTCATTCCCTTCGCACTCGTTTGCTTCACTCATTCCCTTCACATTCGTTCCGTTCACTCATTCCCCTCACTCGTTTTCCCAACAGTTCCAGATGCTGGACAGGGAAAAGAAGAAGGTAGCGGTTGAGGTGGTGCGTGGTGCAGTGCGGCAGAAGGTGTCCATTTATGACCTCGTGGCAGGGGACGTGATAGTGCTATCTACGGGGGATATAGTCCCTGCCGATGCTGTATTTATTGGAGGTAACGTGATTTCTGAGAAAGACTCCTTAAATTGCCAGCAGGAACTGTTTGTAATGAAATGATGTGACTCGAATCGAAATGACTGTGTGACATATAATATCATTTGCTTTTCAGGTGGTACATGTTGGTTGGGTTATAACCAAACGCACCTCCCCCTCTTGTTCCCTCTTCTTACGTCCGGCCACAGCCTGGTGGTGGACGAGTCAAGCATGACGGGCGAGAGTGTGCCGGCGTACAAGGGCAAGGACACGCGTCATACACCCTTGTTCCTCACATGCACTGGCCTGGGCTCACTCACGCCACTACACACGCTGCAGCCTGCCAGTTGGTTGTCCTGAAACAGAGCATACCCCTCTCTTCCTCCCTCTCCCCCCCCCCGCAGGGCACAGCCTGGTGGTGGACGAGTCGAGCATGACGGGCGAGAGTGTGCCGGCGTACAAGGGCAAGGACGCGCCCTTCTTCCTGGCGGGCACCAAGGTGCAGGACGGCCATGGCACTGCGCTCGTGGTGGGCGTGGGCATGAACACGGAGTGGGGGCAGCTCATTGCCAAGCTCACCGACAGTGGAGATGACGAGACGCCGCTGCAGGTACGCTGACAAGGGCTAACCCGAATGGGTGCAGCGGTTGGGTTATGGAAACCCTCAAGAAGTTGCAGTGTTGATGTTGGGCGCGAGCGTCATCCCTACTATCCGTGAGCACGGCGTGCTCATTGCCAAGCTCACGGATTGTGGGGATGATGACGAGACACCTGTGCATGTACGGGTAACGGGTGTATTAGGGCTGGGGAAACTGATGTGTTTTGAGTCGACTCAAAACACAACTGATCTGCTTCACCATCTTGCTTGCCCCTTGCTGCTCACCAGTCCGTGCCGAAAAAGAGCTCCACGCCCTTCCCCTATTCCTCCCTCCCTCCCTCCCTCCCTCCCTCCCTCCCTCCCCCCTTCCCTCCCCCCCTCCCTCCCTCCCTCCCCCCCCTCCCTCCCTCCCTCCCTCCCTCCCTCCTTCTCCCTCCCTCCCTCCCTCCCTCCCTCCCTCCCTCCCTCCCTCCCTCCCTCCCTCCCTCCCTCCCTCCCTCCCTCCTTCTCCTGTTGCTCCTTTCTCTCTGACCCCCCTCCTCTCCTCCCATCCCTCAACCCTCCACCCCCTTTCCCCCATCTCTCCACTCGTTCCCCTCTCCTCTCTCCTCTATGCTTCTCATCTCTTCCCCTCTCTCCCTTTTCCCCACGCTCCTCCTCTCCCCCTCTCTCCATCTCGCCAGGTGAAGCTCAGTGGGGTGGCGACGCTGATAGAGCGGGTGGGGCTGTCTGTGGCGCTGGTGGTGTTCGTGGTGCTGCTCGCCCTCCCCCTCTCACCCCTCCCTCTCTCTCGTTCTCTCTCCATCTCCCCCTCCCCCTCCGTGCGTGCACCAGGTGAAGCTGAGTGGAGTGGCGACGCTGATAGGGCGAGTGGGGCTGTACGTGGCGCTGGTGGTGTTCGTGGTGCTGCTCGCACGCCTGCTGCTCTCCACCAGCATATGGGACTGGTCCTTCCACCACACGCTGCAGGTGAGTGAGTCTGCTCCATTGAGACACCTTTGAGTCGGTTCACAAGTCACTTTGTGCTGCTGCTCGCCCGTCTGCTGCTGCTCGCCCGTCTGCTGCTCTCCACCAGCATATGGGACTGGTCCTTCCACCACACGCTGCAGGTGACACCGCCCTTTTTAAGACGCCTCAAAGGTAGACGTGTCGCTTATAAGACGCCTTAAAAAACTCGATTGCTCTTCCCACCAAACTGTCACCATCAATTCACCTCCTCTCACCGACCTTACACCTCCCCCCTTCCCCACCCCCAGGTTGTGGATTACTTTGCAGTGGCAGTCACCACAGTTGTCGTGGCTGTCCCAGAGGGACTTTCCTAAGCCACCTCCGAGACGAGTCACAGCTTTCCCACCCCCCTCCTTTCTCACCTCACTTCTATCCCCACTCCCTCATTCCCCATCCCCTCCCTTCCCTCCCAGGTAGTGGATTACTTTGCAGTGGCGGTCACCATAGTCGTCATGGCAGTGCCAGAGAGCATACCCAAAGCCAGTTGTGTGCCGTCTCAGAGCTTCCCTGCCTCCCCTCTCGCCCTCCTCCCACCCCCAGGTTGTCGGTACTTTGCAGTGGCAGTCACCACAGTTGTCGTGGCTGTGCCAGAGAGCGTTTCCTAAGCCACCTCCGAGACGTCTCACAGCTTGCCCACCTCCCTCCTTCCCCTCGTCCCTCCTATCCTCTTCCCCCCCCAGGTTGTGGATTACTTTGCAGTGGCAGTCACCATAGTGGTTGTGGCCGTCCCAGAAGGCCTACCTCTCGCGGTAACACTATCGCTCGCCTTCGCAATGAAGAAGATGATGAGGGACAAGGCGCTCGTGCGCAAGCTAGCGGCGTGCGAGACCATGGGGTCTGCTACGACTATATGCAGTGACAAGACGGGCACGCTCACTGCGAATCAGATGACTGTGGTGCAGGCGTGGGTGCTAGGTCACGTGCGCAAGGTGCCGCTGCTGCAGCCTCAGGAAATGCGCGAAATGGAGGTATGTGGTTAGTTTTGAGTCGATTTAAAATTAGAATCAGATGACTGTGGTCCAGGCGTGGGTGTGGGTCATGTGCCCAAGGTGCCGCTGCTGCAGCCTCAGGAGATGCGGGATATGGAGGTATGTGGGTTGTTGTACTGGTGGTGCTTTTTTATTCTTATTTTTTTTGTATGCACTGGTACTTGTGTTCTGTACAAACTAGTACAAGACTTGTTCATCAACACCAGCGCACGCCCCCCTTGTTCCCCTCACCCCACTCGTTCCTGCCCCACCCTCCCTCCTCTCCTTCCCTCCCTCTCAGGAGTGGAAGCTCCCTGAATCCCTCTCCGCCCCGCTCCTGCAAAACGTGTTTATCAACACCAGCGGAGACGTGCAGCTGCCCACGCCGCCCGCCCCGCCCTCCTCTGCCCCAGTCGTCCTCGGCACGCCCACAGAGCAGGCCATTCTCACCTGGGGTCTGCACCTCGCCTCCCCCTCCGCTTTCTCTTCCACTCGCTCCTCTGCTACCATTCTCAAGCTCGAACCGTTCAACTCGCAGCGCAAGCGCATGGCGGCAGCCGTTCGCCTGCCCAACGGGGGCGTGAGGGTCATGTGGAAGGGCGCTGCAGAGATTATTCTCGCAAGCTGCACCCACGCAGTGGTGGGGGTAGTGGCAGGGGAAGGGGAGAAGGGAGGTTCCGAGGCAGTAGTAGCGCCCATAGATGAGGATGCCCTGGGGAAGGTTGTGGAGGAATCAGCTACTGCGGCGCTGCGCACGCTGTCGCTGGCGTACAAGGATTTGAGTGCGGAGGAGGTGGAGCAGATGGGGTTGGTGAAGGAAGGGGAGTGGGTGGCGGATGTTGCGATCCCGGATCAGGGGTTGACGCTGATGGCGGTGGTGGGAATTAAAGACCCGCTGCGGCCTGAAGTGCCCCGCTCTGTCATGCTGTGCAAGCGCGCAGGGATCATGGTACGGTGCTGTGCGGTGCTACGGATGTTTGTTTGTTTCCTTTTTTCTACTTCTTTGCTTTGCTTTCTCCTGTACCTTTTTCTTTTTTTTTTGTTCCCGTTCATTCATTATTTTGTTCTTCGTTTTTTGTTTACTGACTGTCTACACAATCCCTCTCTTTGTCCCCTTGCCCCCTTCCCTCCTCTCCTCCCCCATTTCCAGGTGCGCATGGTAACGGGTGACAACCTGAGCACGGCCATAGCCATCGCCAAGACAGTCGACTCACACAACCTCTCTCCGTGCCCCCTCCCCTCCCCATCCATCCCATACCCTGCGCCCCTCTTCCCTCCTCTCCTCCCCCATTTCCAGGTGCGCATGGTAACGGGTGACAACTTGAGCACGGCCATAGCCATCGCGCGCGAGTGTGGCATTCTAACGAGCGAGGGCGTGGCAGTGGAGGGTCCCAAGTTCCGAGTCATGGGTGACGAGGAGCGGAGGGAACTCGTTCCTCGCTTGCAGGTGTGTGTGCTGCCGTGTGCATGCGTGTGTATGTGTGTATGTGCACGTGTGCATGCATGCTTGCTGCACGAGATGGCCATACGTGAGGTGCCTCAAGAATGTTCCCCAACGGTTTCACTTCACCCTTTTCCACTCCCCCGACTATAGCTACTGACCCCACCTTCACCTCTCCCCCCAGGTGATGGCGCGGTTGCCCCTGGCTGTCCCGCCCCCCGTTCCCACTCACCACCGTTCCCACTGGCTGCCCCTGCGGTCCCACCCCCCAAACCTCCTCCCCCCCCCCCCTCCCCTTCAGGTGATGGCGCGGTCTTCCTTCACGGACAAGCACCCGTCGGTGTCGCTGCTGAGGGAGATGGGTGAGGTGGTGGCTCTCGAAAACACCCCCTCCTCTGTTGCTCTCTCCCCCTCTCCCCTCCAGGTGATGGCACGGTCGTCCCCCACGGACAAGCACCTGCTGGTGTCGCTGCTGCGGGAGATGGGTGAGGTGGTGGCAGTCACAGGCGACGGCACCAACGACGCACCTGCTCTCAAGGAGGCAGAGATTGGGCTCGCCATGGGCATCGCGGGCACAGAGGTGCGTAAAGAGAAAGGGGATAGGGCTCTTGTATGGTTAATCTGGGACAGAGGTGAGATGGGCGAGGGGGTAGGCCGTCACAGGCGACGGAACCAACGACGCACCTGCTCTCAAGGAGGCAGAGATTGGGCTCGCCATGGGCATCGCAGGAACAGAGGTGAGCAGGGAGAGTGGGGGGAGGGCTTTCGCGATGGGTATTTGGGGATAGAGGTGAGGTGTTGAGAGGGGATAGGCTCTTTTGTGTAGGTTATGAGGGCTGGTTGGGTCTGAGTGTGATGGAAAGCGACGGCACTACTTTGTCCCTTTCCTCCCTCCCTCCTGGACTGTTTGCCTCTTCCTGGCGTGCATGGCCCCTCTCTCTCCCTAGCAGGATAGGAAGGAGAGTGCGGGGCGTAATAGTAGCAGGACAGTATCTTGGCTCCCTTGCTCACGTGCTTCTTTTTCCTCCTCCTATCCCACATCAACCCCCTCTCTCCTTAGGTGGCGAAGGAGAGCGCAGACGTGATAGTGATGGACGGTAACATGGCACCGTTGCCCGCATTTTCCCTCTCTCCCACACTTTCCCCCCTTCCTCTCCCTTCCCTTCCCCCCGCAGGTGGCGAAGGAGAGCGCAGACGTGATAGTGATGGACGACAACTTCTCCTCGGTGGTGAATGTGGCCAAGTGGGGGCGCAGTGTGTACACCAACATCCAGAAGTTCGTGCAGTTCCAGCTCACTGTCAACATCGTCGCTCTCGTCACCAACTTCGTCTCCGCATGCATCACAGGTGCCGTGCCGCGTGCCTGCATGAGGTGACTTTTGAGTCGACTCAGAAGTCACCTCGCATGCATCACAGGTGCCGTGCCGCGTGCCCGCATGCCTTGGTACTCATCTCTCCCTGCACTCATCTCTTCCTCGGCCACTTTATTCCGCACCTTTGACATTCTTTGGAAGCTTTCTTCCCCTGGTGCTTCTCTCGCTCATTGCGACACCCAATATTGCTCACCGCCGCCGTTCAGTCACCTGTTGGACTTCTCTACACCACTCTCCACTCGGATCAACCCCTCCAACCCAACACCACCCCACCCGACACCGCCCCACCAGGCACGGCCCCACTAACAGCAGTGCAGTTGCTGTGGGTGAACCTCATTTTGGACACACTCGGTGCTTTCGTCCTCGCCACCAAGCACCCCAAAGAGCTTGTTGGACGTTTCTTACAGGCCTCAGACACACCACAGACCCACACGTTCCGACCCCGTGGAAAACATCATCCTGCACTCATTCTCCTGTCTCTGCCCTTTTCGCCCACCCCACCCTACCCTACCGCACTGCCCCCTGCCCACCACCACCACCACCACCACCACCACCACTACCATCACCAGGCACGGCCCCACTGACAGCAGTGCAGCTGCTGTGGGTGAATCTAATCATGGATACACTCGGCGCGCTCGCCCTCGCCACCGAGCCACCAAAGGAGTCCCTCATGCACATGAAGCCCGTGGGGCGGCGCACTCCCTTCATCACGCCGTCCATGTGGCGCAACATTGCAGGGCAGGTGGTGTTCCAGCTGCTCGTGCTTGCACTGCTGAACCAGTTTGCAGCGTTCCTGTTTGGGCTGCAGGGGCCGCTGGCTGCCGCTACCAAGCGCACGCTTGTGTTCAACACGTTTGTATTCTGCCAGGTGCGGGAGAGGGGGGAGGGGGAGGGGGAGGGGGACGGGGGCGGGGATGGGGAGGGGGAGAGGGGAGTGGGGGTGAAGGGAGTCGAGTGGGTGGGAGGAGGCAGGGAAGCTTGAAGTGCTGGTGGTGGAAGGACCGTGGTGGTGCTGGTAGCTTTTTCACTCTAATGAACATAATCGTTGCTTCGCTTCTCTCCATGTCTTCCCTGCTTCAGAAGCCTCTCCTTTACCCCTTCCCACCGCCACCCTCCCCTTCCCCACCCCAAAGAATCTTCACCTCTCCCTACTCTTCCATCTGCCATCTACAAACACACAGCTATTCAACGAGATCTGTTCACGGGAGCTGGACAAGGTGAATGTGCTACACGGCATGCACCAGAATGTCATCTTCCTCTTATGAGTCGACTAAAAATTCTTCCCCCCCTTTCCCCCTCCACACACAAACAGCTATTCAATGAGATCAACTCACGGGAGTTGGACGAGGTGAACGTGCTGCACGGCATGCACCAGAACGTCATCTTCCTCGCCATTCTCCTCTTCTCCACCGTCTTCCAAGTCTGCCTCGTGCAATACCTCGGCAAGTTCGCCTCCACCGTGCCGCTCACGCCGCTGCAGTTTGCCGCGTGCATCTTCATCGCGTCGCTGAGTCTCCCTGTCGCAGCAGCTGTGAAGCTGATAGAGGTGCCGAAACAGTCTGTGGTGGCTATGGAAAGGCTTACCAGCAGCATCTCGGCCCACTTGCAGGTGTTTTTCCCAGAGGAAGGGAAAGTGCCTGAGGCAGGGGCTGGGAAGGAGGTGAAGCAAGAGTGAAGCGGGTGGTTGCTGGGGCTTGGTGGTGGCATCTACTGCTGGTGCTGCTGCTGGTGCTGCTGCTGGTGCTGGTGGTGAGCGCCTGGTGCTTGAGCATAAGTTAATGCCCTCCCAAGTCACTCACTTCGATGTGCCTGCCTTGCCCTCTCCTTAGTACGGTTTCTCAGGTTCCCGTTTGTTCTCTTTCACCTTGTCATGCAACCATGCCAAAGTGTAAGCCAGGAGCCGGCACATGAGACGAGACGACTATGACGTGTCGTGCCAACCTGGTGCTTCTGTCTGCTCACGCACCAACTTATGTTATTTCCTCGCCAGGAATATTCACGGCGTCAGCTTAGTTTTTCCTAGTAGCAATCAACGTAGAATTCCTAGGAATCATGCTTATTTCATTACTATGGTGTCTGCAGATTGTATAAACAAGGTACAGTATGGGCATTTATTTGGAGACTTCAGTGCTGGCATTTTTCTGTAAAGAAGTACACTGTCACTGCAGTGTATTACTATCCGCATCCACATTATGCTCTTCGGAGCGCATGTCCTTTTAGCGGCGGTATGCATGAACGTATTGTACAGTAGTTCATGAATGATGGACCAACCAACCACTGTGCTGTGGGAACCAGCTAATCGACAAGTCCCCACCCACCCCACCGCCACATTGGGGTTTGACCAACTTTTTGGTTTGAGCCACGCGTAAAGCCTTTCACTTGTTTCCTTCGACGGAAATATTCACCTGCTAGGACTGCTCACCTAGCGAGCGGTATGCTACGTCCAACACGCCATTCTACCTGAAATACCCGTAAGTCGCCGCCAATAGGCGGCCAATTCTCCAGGCATTAGCTTACCAAAAATATAACTTCCATGGCTGACGGTAGCCAATCGATCGGCAGCGGCGGCGGATCGTACCGGCCGGACAGCGGCGCGGAGGCGTCCGGCGGGCTCGAAAATTATCAAGATCAGGGTGGCGGGGTGCATGTGGTAGGCGGAATTGGCGGCGTCGGCTTACCTTCCCTTGATAATACTTCTCACCATCTCACTAACATCGGCAGGCTGGAGTTAGGGTTAGGAAATAGTAATGTCTCTTTGCGCACCGGCGGTGGGCACAGCATACCTCACGGCGGCATTCAGGGCTGGGGGCATGGCCGTGGGGCAGGCGTTCCCGCGCACTTTGAGTCCGGCTATTCCCGCGGCGCTAACCTGGGTGATGCTGCTGACGCGCGCATGACGTGGCCTGCGTCAGCGCCGAAGGCGTGGTCCGACGACGGTGCGGTGCGGAACAAGATCGCGTCGTCGCAGGCGCGCGGCGATTCCAGCTTTCAGAAGCACAGCGCGCCGGCCGCTTTTGGCGGGAGAGGGCCGCACGTTTCGTCTAACGTAAGCATGGACTTGCCTAGCAGCAGACACGTAAGCAGCGGAAGGTTTGACGGCGCCGCGGACGGCGGAGACGTGGGGAACCGAGGCCCAGGGGGACCAGGGGGTTACCGCGGAACGATGGCGCAGCCCCACGTGCGGATGTGGGGGAAGGCGGAGCAGCAGGCGGCGGGGCAGAAGGGCGGGGGTGCGGAACATGGGGGGAGGCAGGGGGAGAGGCATGCGGGAAGGCTTTCTGGCTGGGACGGCGGGACGGGTTTGGGAATTGGGTTTCGCGGGGAGAGGATGGGTGCGCGCGCGTGCGCGCAAGAGGTGGCGGAGGCGCAGACAAGGGACGATGGCGCAGGGGAATCGGGGGACTCTGACGATATGCTCGCGCAGTTTGAAAGGGGAGGCGCAGCGCAGCAGCAGAAACAGCATCAGATACCGCAGCAAGAGCAGCAGAAGCAGCACGAGCAGCAGCAGCAACAAGGGGAGCAGCAACAGCAACAGCAGCAGTTACAGCAACAGCAGCAGCAGCAGCAGCAGCAGCAGCAACAGCAACAGGAGGCGGAGCAACAGGTTGAGAGTAAGACGAGCTCGGTCGCACTCAACAGCGGAGCACAAAGGGGCGTGAGGAGGAGCAGGGGCGGCGGTGCGAGCGGGGGGAGCGGAGGGAGCGGAGAGTGTCGTGTGTACGAGGGCGGCCAGAGGCAGGAGCAGCACATGGGGAGCGCGAAGGCAGGAAGAGTGGGGCAAGTGGGGGGAGGGGAAGCGCCGGGATTGAGACAATTCAGCCCTGATGTGTTGCTCCGTGGCGGCAGCAGTGGTGGCGGCGGTGGTAGTGGTGGTTCTGCTGCTGCTGGTGGCACTACTGCTGCTGCTGCGGCTGCTGGTGGTGGTGCTGCTGTTGCTGCTGCCTCTGCTGCTGGTGCTGCTCGTGCTCGTGATGGTAGTGGTGGCGGTGGCAGTGGTGGCAGTGGGGTTAGTGGACCTGGGCTAAGCTTGGTAAGATGATCACAGCAAAGGCAACATGGGCCGTTTGTCTTGTAAAATTGTCACATTGACGAATAAATTCTCATTCTTTTCTTAGCCTTCTCTTCCTGCCTTTTTTCAACCCCCTCCCCCTTTTTCCCTTTTTCACCCCCACCTCCCCGCGCTCCCCCATTCCTGCTTCCCCTCTCTGCTTCCCCTTTGGGTGCGCGGTGCACCTACCTGGTTCAGCTAGCGCCTTCCCCAGGTGCCCCTGAACCAGTCCCCGCGTGGTGGCTGCATCAGGGGCAGGCTTCTGCGCCCTCTCTCCCCCAATACCCCCCTTTTTCCGCCAACGCCCCCGCCCCTTCCGCCTACGCGCCTGCACTCGCCCCCTCCGCCTCCACCGTCCCCCCTTCCGCCCCCGCCCTCCTCCCTTCGGCGTCCGCGCTTTCCCACCTCCCGCCTGCTCCCTGGCCCGCGTCTGGGCCCACAGAATACACCATAGACGCCACTGATTCGTATTTGAAAAGGACTGGTGGCTTACCTTCAGCTGCAGCAGATGCACATGCGGGGGCGGACGCGGGAAGGGGAGCGGGAACAGCAGGGGGCGGGGAAGGAGCTGGGGAAGGGGAAGGGATGTGCGTTTCCGGAAGGGGTATGTTGGGGGAGCGGGGGGAGAGGGGAGAAAGGGGCGCAAAGGCAAGAGGTTTGACGAGGATGGGTGGTGGTAGTGGTGACAACAGGAAAGAGCAAGGCACGTATGGAGATACTCCCTTGTGGAGGCAACCTGAGAGGAAGGTGAGTGAGTCTCCAGGCTTCTCCCCCCCCACAAACACATGTCCTGCTTATGTTTATTTAAGTGCTCGGTGTTTCTATGCAATGCGACTTGACTCCCAAGCTGACAAGACACAGATGGGCAAGGTGAGCAAGCAATCATATATCGGCTGTCTACTTGTGCTACAACATGGGCTTTGCTTTTAATAAATGTGCTTGCTGTGGCCGGGCTTTGTAGAAGCGAAAACAGAAAGAGACGAGCAAGAGAGACGAGCTTGCATGCCTTTTCTGGGCCAAAAATGGCGAGAATTCAGTTCAGACAGACTGCCAGATTTAGTGGAGAATTGCCTCGCCCATTGTCGCTAGCAACTCTGTCCTTACCTCACCCATTTTAGTCTCAGAATTGTCCGTGCTTCTCCCCCCTCCGTCCCCCCATTTTGCCCCACATTTGCCATAATAGCGACCTCACAGGCCTTCTTTCCCGTCCCATCCCTCCCTCCTGTCCTCCTTCCCGCATCATTCTCCCCCCACTCCCCCACCTCCAACCTCCCAACCTCCCCCAATCTTTCCCCCCTTCTCACAGGTATCCATGTTCCACCTGGGTCAGCCCCTGCCACAGTACCACGACCTCTGCCCGCCCTCAGGGGCGCGTATCCTCTGACGCTCCCCAGACACCTCGGATGCTTTAGTCCCTTCCTTCCCCCTTCCTTCCCCCTTCCTTCCCCCTTCCTTCCCCCTTCCTACTCACCATCTCCTCCCCCCATCCATCCCCCCTGCCACAGGTATCCATGTTTCACCTGGGTCAGCCCCCCCTACAGTACCACGATCTCTGCCCGCCCTCAGGGGCGCGTATCCTCTGGCGCTCCCCAGACCCCTCCGATGCTTTCGAGCCACCTCAAGCACGCACAGCAGAAGTGCCTCTCGCTCCCTCCTCCTCCGCTTCTGCCGCTGCTGCTGCTGCGGCGGCGGCGGCGGCGGCTGCTGCTGCTGCTCCGGCGGCGGCTGCTGCTCGCTCTGGGCTTGCGTCTTCCTCTCGTGCACACCTTGAGCAGCGTTTTCCGGATGGGTTGACTTTGTCGTCTCGTGCTGCGGCTGCAGCTGTGGGCATGGATGGGATGGGTGCGGGGCAGGGGGACCGAGGGGGGGTGAGTGCGGGGAAGCTCGGAGGAAGCATGGGGAATGTGGGTGGTATGGGGAGTGTGGGGAATATGGGTGGTGTGGGGAGCTTGAGGAATGAGCCTTGGCAAAATTCTGGTACTGCTAGTCAAGTTGGGGGAATGAGCAGTGAAGGCGGGGAGAGGGGAGGGGGAGGGGGAGGTGTAGTGGGAGGGGAAGGGAGAGGAGGAGCAGGGTTACCACCAACAGCAGCAGCAGCAGCCGCACCGACAGGTGCAGCAGCGGCAACAGCAGCTTCTGGTTGGGAGCTAGAAGCGTTGCTTCTTGTGAATCGGCAGCTGAACAGGCAGATGGAAGAAATGAAGGAGCAGTCACGGCGAGCCAAGGAAGAAACGGAAAGCTTGAGAGCCAAGGCAGGCGCCGGGGAGCAGGGAGAAGAGAAGGGAGGAGCGAAGGGAGGAGAGATGAGAGTGGAGAAGGGAGGTGAGAAGCCAGGAGAGACGTGTTTGAAGAAGTGTTTTGAGACGTCTCAAAACACTTCTTCAAACATGAGAGTGGAGAAGGGAGGTGAGAAGCCAGGGGAGAGGGGAGGAGAGAAGGGGGGGGAGAGAGCGAGGGAGGAGCGGAGGGAAGGGCAGCAGAGTCGTTGGTTGCAGCCGGCTATCCAGCGAATGGAGAATCAGATCGTGGTGCTGACGGGGCGAGTGCTGCAAGTGCAACACGAACGAGACAACCTGCAGCAGCAGCTGAGGAAGATGAAAGAGAAGGTGGTGGGTTTGGAGCAGGAGAAAGGGCAATTAGAGGCTCAGGTGGCGTTACAGAGAGAGCAGTTAGAGCAGATGGGCCAGATGGGAACGATGGGGCAGATGGGAACGATGGGGAATCTGCAAGGAGCAGCAGCAGCAGCAGCAGCGGGTGCAGATGAGATGGAGAGGGAAGAGGAGCCGCGAGGGCAAGGCGCTGTGATGTGCCATGCGGATGTGGTGACTCTAGAGATGCTGCAGAACCGGCTTGTGCAAGGCAGGGCGTCGTTTCAAGAGGGTGGGAGCAGTGGGAGAGAGGCACGCGCACAGGAAGGCGGGCGGGTGGCTGTGGCTGTGGCTGTGGCTGGGGGTGGTACGAAGGGAGTGAGAGCGAGGGAAAGAAGAGACGAGGCAATGGAGGAGAACGAGGGGGGAGAGAGAGGGGAGGGGACTGGGGGGGGAGGGGCGGGTGCGGGGAGAGAGGTTAGAGACGGGAGAGGGGGGATGGAAGGGATGGAAAAGGGGATAGGGGAGTTTATGGTTTCCCGAACAGGAGGGGCTATTTGCGAGGGAGGAGAAGTTGCTGGGAAATTGAATGGTGCCAAGGTTTTGACTGGTGAAGGTAGTATCATGGGCGTGTATGCAAATGAGAACAGGGTTGGGGACAGAGTTGGGGACAGGGAGGGAGACCTGGATATGAACAGAGCAATGGTGGGTTCCGATCAAGTAGGTCACATGGGGGTCTTCGTTGCTCCTCCTGCCTCCACCCATGCCAATTCCCATGCCAACACCCATGCCAACACCCATGCTAACACCCATGCTAACACCAATGCCAACACCCATGCTAACACCAATGCCAACACCCATGCTAACACCAATGCCAACACCCTCACGAGTGCGGATATTCCCCATGTTGGCATGCACGCTCCATCTGGCGTGCTCCCTAAGCATGTGGGCATGGCTGGGAGCATGTGGGCATCCATGCAGCAGCACATGCATCAAGCCCTCTCGTACATGCACGCTCTGACGCCCCTCCTTCAGGGGGAGATGCAGTCACCGGGGCTGGGGAAAAGCGAGGGAGATGGGGAGGGAGCAGGAAGGAAAGAGGGAGAGGCAGAGCAGGGGAGAGAGGGAGAGGGAGGGGGCGAGGGGGGTGGGGAGGGGCATGGATGTGTTCCTGAAGGAGTGATTTCTGGAGGAATGAAGCTAGAACCTATTGATCAGACTGATTCCAAGTCCGCTCTGGTGGCTGTAGCAGCAGTAACAGAGGGGGATGGCAGCAGCTCACTCACTCACAAGTCTGCTTCTTTCCTCATGCCCCATGCTGTATCCTCCTTGCCTACTCACGCTGGTGCATTTCCTGCAGCGGCGGGTGCTGCTGCTGGTGCTGCTCCTACTCCCCCTGCTGCACCTGCCACTGCTCCTACTGCTATGGGAATAGGGGTGCCGATTGGCGGTGTTGGGAGTGGGCGACGAGCAGAGGCAGCAGATGCAGTACGGGCAGTAGCAGAGGAGGCAGTGGCAGTGCGAGGCATGGTAGAGCAAGCTTTCGCTAAGGCGCAGACACTCTCTCAGCTGCACAGCACTTGGCTGCTGCAGCAGCAGCCGTCGCAGCAGCAGCAGCAGCAGGAGCAGCAGCAGCAGCAGCAGCAGGAGCAGGAGCAGCAGCAGCAGGAGCAGCAGGAGCAGCAGCAGCAGCAGCAGGAGCAGGAGCAGCAGCAGCAGGAGCAGGAGCAGGAGCAGCAGCAGCAGGAGCAGGAGCAGGAGCAGCAGCGACAGGAGGAGAACGGAGATGCAGAGGGAGAGGGGCGAGGGAAGAAGAATCCAGAATTAGGACAGGCAGAGACGGTTGTGCATGGTAAGAGTGCTTGTGTGGGCGCTGTCAGTGGTGATGGTGATGGAGCAGTGATGAGAGCTCCAGCAGCAACAACAGAAGGAGCTGCAGCGGTAGAGGCAGCGGTGACGGCAGGGGAAAGAGCAGTAGCAGCTGGGGCGCTAGTGTTTAACGCAGTGGGCCCAGGTGAGAGTAGGGGAGTTAAGAGCTCGTTAAAGGAGGAAGGCAAGCAGCAGCCAGCAACTGGAGGAGCAGCAAGAGAAGGAGCAAGAGCCGAGCCGGGGCGTGGTGAAAGCAACAGGGTGGGGGATACCAGTGCTGGTGCTGCTGCTGCTGGTGGTGGTGGTGGTGCTGGTGGTGCTAGTGGTGATGGTGACAGTGATGGTGGTGATGTGGGGGATGTGCACTTGCAGCTGCTGGCGTTGGCACATGACCTTGCCATGGCATGTGCGCTGCTGGGAAGCCTGCAGTCCAAGGCTCAGATGGCACAGGAGTGGGTTGGTAAGAGCGTGAGTGCGGCAGGTGCAGCAACAGGAGGAGGGGGGATAGGGGGGGGGGAGGGGGAGGAGGAGGAGGAAGGGTAGGGGTAGGAGCGAGGGAAAGAGAGAGGGGAAGGGCGGGAGTGACATGTGAAGGGGAGGGTGGTGAGTGGGGCAGGGGAAGAGGAGCAGGGATGATAGAGGGAGGGACAGGAGTGGGGACGGCAGTGGGGACGGCAGTGGGGACAGCAGTGGGAAGGAGTGGTCAAAGCAGCGGCTGGACCGGTGGGGCAAGGGCGGGTAAAGGTGAGTGTTGTTTACACCCTCCCTTATAACGTGCCCGGCTGCATGGCTGGCTGACCGTGTGGCTGCATGGTTGCATGGGGTGCATGGGTGCATGGGGTGCATGGGGTGGCTGACTGCATGGGTGCATGGCTGACTGATTGCAGGGACGGGGGCTTTGACTCAACCATCATTCTCTATCCCTTTCCCATCACCTCCCCCATCCTCTTTTTCTTCTCATCCCAAATAAGCTTCCCTCTTCATTATCTTCTTCACTCACACTCTCTTTCCACCTGCCCGTTCCCGCTTCCTCCGTCCCCTGCTTCCAGAAGAGTTGCGGTGGTGGGAGGGGCAGTTGTGGGTGGGCGATGGGCCTAGGGACTCTGGCACTCGCAAGCGCAAGGCAGGGGAGGGGGAGCAGTTGCTGCTGTTCAACCGAGAAGGGCTCTTGCAGTGGGGAGGCGGGGCTGCAGGGGGGAACGTGTCAGGGAATGGAGGGGGAGCAGGGGAGAATGGAATGGGGGGATCTTGGGGAGGCAGGGGAGAGGGGTGGGATGCAAGGCAGAGGCAGAGGGTGGAAGGAGGAGGGGACGTGGAGGGTGGTGATTGGCAGGGGAGGGCGAGTGTGGGGGGGAAAGAGGAGATGGAGTTGTGGCAGGAGGTGTCTCGAATTGAGCAGATTTTAAACGTGGGGGAAGCTGGAGGGAGATTTGGATTTGCTGGTAGGGTAGGCAAGGGAGAGGATGTGAGGGAGGGGGAGGTTGGTGCGGCTAGGACAGGAATTTGGGGCGGCAGAGAGGGTGGGGTGCACGTGGCTGAGGGCCTTCGGAGGCTAGTGGGGAGGGTTGAGGCGGTTGTGTTGAGGAATGCAGAGCTTATGGCAGCCATGGATGCCATGGCTGGGAAGACCAGTAATGCGTGATAGATTGCCAGTGTCTCGTTGTCATGTGTGCTAGCTCCTGTTAGTTCATACATTCATGGCTGTGCATGGATATAATGACTAAGGTCGTATCCCTGGCTGGTGGCAAGGAGTTGGTGGCAAGAAGTTGGTTTGACCAATCACAATGGCCGGGCATCTGTTTTGGACCAATCGCGTGCGCAAACTTCTTGCCACCAACTTCTTGCCACTAGGCTGGGATACGACCTGAATCTGAATACATTTTTCCAGCATCAGTAAATAACCACTGTGCATTGTAACTCTTCATGCTGGACTTTTATCTCCGTAGATAATACTCTAATATGCATTTTGACTTTCAATAAGCGGCCAGAAGACAGCTGGTGCATCTTGCCCCTCAGGTCAGGTACAACTGCGACCGCACAGTTCAGCTCTGCTCGTATCCTGAATAAGTGCAGGAAAATTTTCTAGATTCATTTTGTCATAAGGGTGGACAGGACCCCGAAGCTCTGACCTACAACGTTAGGAAAGAGCTTCCAGGCTGTACAGTCTGAGGTGGTAGATCCACGTAAACTGGGGAATCGGAGCAGAGCAGCAATTTCATCGAGGCAGCCATTTCAAGGCATTGAGGACAAGTACACACCGCCTGCAAAAATATTGGGGGTTATCGCGCCGTGATCACGCTCAGCCACAATTTGCGATTTGGCCTCGATGAAATCAAGGGGCCAAGTGCGAGAGAGATGGTTGTACGGCTGACGCCAGACCTGTCGAAGTAGGGCATTTTCCCTTGATGCCCTGAACGCCGGGCACTTTCGGATCAGCTAGACCGATTTATGTGTTATATTTGCATGGCACCCGTGACAGTTTGGTTTGGCGCTCAAACTGGGCCCACCCTGTCTCTAAGTTTTGGTTTCCGTTCTAGGGACACCCCCCCTCGAGGACCTTTCTACACCCCATCCCCACCCTTTACCTCTTTGTCCCGAAATTGCACAAGAGCGGGCCAGGGATTTTTATTTATCTTCATCGTTTTCTAGCCATCCCGAGTGTATGTGGTGTAGAAAGTTAGTTTGGGAACAGCTGACCTTTCCCTTAGCGGCCAATACAAGCTGGCGCACAGGTTACAGGTGGAACAACAAGTATGTTCCATGCTGCTGTAAAGAGTTCGGTGAAATTTAGTATCTCACCATAGTTTATTGACAGCGCAGTACACATCCATAAGGAGCCCGGATTTCAAGGGTTGAAATTCGCATGCGCCCTTTAACGTTGAGAGCGGAAAAAACGGCCACCTCCCTGAAAATCAGGGTGGACTCGAGCAGCTCAGGGCCGCTGGTTGAACAGAGACTTGAACGGCCCTGGTTGACGCTCGATCGCGCGTCGCAAGACAGGATTCACATTCACTGTTCAGTGTCGCTTCCTCCATGTTCCCTCCAAGGTCTGACCACTGATCAGGCGGGGGACGTGCCGCCTTGCCCCATTCCCCTTCGCTGTTGGTGCTGTGCTGCTGGCCTGCTGCCCCTGCCGCTGCAGCTCCGCTCGCTGCACCGACTCCGACTCCCTCCCTCCCTCCCTCCCACCCTGCGTCCCTCCTTCCCTCCCTCCCTCCCTCCCTCCCTCCCTCCCTCCCTCCCTCCCTCCCTCCCTCCCTCCCTCCCTCCCTCCCTCCCTCCCTCCCTCCCTCCCTCCCTCCCTCCCTCCCTCCCTCCCTCCCTCCCTCCCTCCCTCCCTCCCTCCCTCCCTCCCTCCCTCCCTCCCTCCCTCCCTCCCTCCCTCCCTCCCTCCCTCCCTCCCTCCCTCCCTCCCTCCCTCCCTCCCTCCCTCCCTCCCTCCCTCCCTCCCTCCCTCCCTCCCTCTCCCACTCACTCTCCCCCCCTCGCCTTCCCCATCTCACTCCCCCCAGGCCTAGGCCAGCTCACTTGATTCATTCGCTGGCTGGCATCCCTCCCACCTAGTGCCACCTCAGCACAAGCTGTGGTACTGTTTCGAAGCGCGCATTCTCCTCCCGTGTCTTCAGTGACTGTGGGCATGTCTGAGCAAACCACAGATCGCCTTCAAAAACTCGTGGGTGGATTGATTAAAAATAACATTTTTGTTGCCAATCCAGCGCGCGCCAATCTGTGCATCACGTCTCCTCCGCAGAATCTTCAGCAACGCTGTGGCTTGAGTCCCAGCATTTTCTCTCCCAGTCCCAGCACATTACGCCATGAGAGCTTTGGAGGTCCTCACTCGCTCGAAGAAAAGCCGTACACCTTCCCCCCTTCCTCCTTCGAAAGCGTGCCTACCCCCAGCTTCCGAAGCCAAATCCCCTCAAATTCTGGCGCCCGCCTCGCCGCAACTCCCGCCGCCGTCCCCGCGACTTCAGCAGCACCCCACTGGCATCATGACGCGCGAGGAGGTTGAGGTACGCGCGCTTGGTGTCAGCGCGTATCCTGGGTCGCGAGAACTACCGTTTCAACCAGGCGCGCGATCCGGCCTATCGATAGACAAAGCGGGCACGGATTATTCCGGCGTGATGGTCCACGTGCCGAAAGACTGTTCATCCACGAACGAGTTACAACAGCACCGCGATAACCTTGCAAAGCTCGCGCCAGAGCTTGTCGCTCCCCCTCCTCCGCCCAAGGTTCCCGTTGTATCCGCGGAGGACCTTTCCGAACTTGAAATCGCCGCGATCTTGGCGGATTGCCGCTCCGCCGACACGACTCGGCGGCTCCACGGCGCAAGGACGCTGCGCGCGCTGTCGAAGGAATCCGACGCGCACCGCACGTTGCTTGTCGCGGCGGAGGGGGTCGTCGACGAACTGATTGATCTACTATCGGAGCCGAGCGACGGCGTTTCGGAGGAAGCGGTGATTGCCCTCTTGAATCTTACCACAAATGATTCCAATAGGCGGCTCCTCCTATCTAAGATCCTTCTCCCCCTCGTCCGCGCGCTTGCTAGCGCTGCTCAGCCCATGGTTGTTCGGGAAACCGCCGCCGCCGCCATTTTCAGTCTGTCGGTGGAGGACGACGTTAAAGTGGCCGCCGGCGACGCGGGCGCCGTGGCGCACTTGGTAGAGATCCTGCGGTTCGGCTCGCAACAGGGAAAGCGCGACGCGTGTAAAGCACTATTCAATCTTTCCATGGCTGGTTGCAATAAGACGCGTGTTCTGGAGGCGAGCGGTGTGCCGGCTCTGGTAGAGATACTTACCCAGTGCAACAGCGGAACCGCGGAAAAGGCGGCGGCAGTGCTGGCGAATGTGGTAACGGTGGAGGCGGGACGCGACGCGGTGATGGAGGAGGAGGATGCGGTGGTGCATCTGGTGGAAATGCTCGAGGCGGGCACGCCGCGAGGCAAGGAGCATGCGACGGTGGTGCTGTTTCAGCTGGCGTACCACAGCGAAGAGCATCGGACAGCCATCCTTATGGAGGTGGTGATTCCCCCACTCATTGGGATCACGCAGACGGGCACGGCTCGTGCACGAGAAAAGGTAAGCAGATTTAGGTTGCTCAACCGTACCCGCTTATATATGCTTTTATTTTTTTCGCCTCACAGATTGTTTCTCGTACCTCTAAGCTTACCGAACACCCTATTAATTACCTCTCTTTCCCGTTCTCCCTCTGTCTGTGTCGTTTCAGGCGAAGCAACTGCTATCTATTCTCCGGAAAACTGGTTGAATGTAGTTCCAATGTTGAAGGTTGTGGCGCGGCTCGCTGCCACCCACTAAATACCTGTGCTTGGAGTTAGCGCTTTAGGAAGAAAGAGGCGCCCAGCTGACGGATTCCGTCAAGGGACTGTTTTGCAGCGCGCCTCGACTTTCAGCATCACTTGTGGGGTTGTTACTTACCATTGTTTCATTTCTTTGACTTAGTGACGTATTTTCTGTGTGCAATAGGAAATGTTAAATATTATTGCTGTTTTTTAATCATGTAAGAATGGCCTTCAGAGCAGACACTGAAGCCCATGTCTTGATGTGTATCAAAGATGTGGTCTTGAAGACCCCAATTGCAGGTGCATGCACGTTGAAGCCAAACTAAGGGCATACCTTTGGCTCTGGTCATGAGCACTGTTCATTCTACTGTTTGGGTCATGCGGAATTTGCGCATGACCCGAAGTGGCTACCGAGCCGTGCGCGGCCCCAGCTTTGGGTCAATGTGCAGGTGTTGGGCGACTGACGTGCACGACCCACCCCCAACCAATCACTTGGTTGCACGATTCTGGATTTACTGCCATTTTTTGGCGGTCGTCAGTCGAGTGTCACACGTGGGCAATGTCCCACGTCTTACCCCTCTGCACCCAACCACTCGGCAAATTGACCCCAGTGACCATTAGTGGGTCAAAAATTTCCCGCATCGCCCTCCCAGCATTTGGGGATTCACGCCGGGAATTTTGACGATTGTGTTTTTTCGGTGGGTTTCGCGTGGTTTCGCGTGGGTCTTGCTAAGGATGTTTCGAACTGTTCTGGCATCCCTCCATTGGATGCGACTGTTGTGGGGAGCCTGATTTTGGCGCTAAGACCTTCGCGGCTCTTTGGGAGTCGCACGAGTTCGGAGGACCCGAAGTGGCGTTTTATGTTGTTTGAGTCATCCGCAAATTGCGGATGCCCGGAACAGTGCCCATGACCCGAACCTGGATACGCCCTAAATAAACACTGTGGTATCCAGGATGTATTAACTTCAACTACTGCCCATTCACGGTATTGTCACATTGAGGAGTCCTTATGGTAACATTTGCTCTCTTCCCTCCACTCTGGTACCCTACTTCAGTTCGGAACTGAACAAAGCAAGACCTGGATGGATTGCTTCATGAAGAGAGTGAGCCCTTCACGTGCTCAAGAGATAAAAGAGCATTCCACTACCACCTCTTTGAGAAATCATGAAAGTTAGAAACAGACTCTCAGCTTATGTGCAATCGCACCGAGTGGCATGTAAGCATATCCCGTCGTACTACAAATACAGTATGCATATGAATCGCTCGAACAAGCTCTATGTGCCGTCGAGGTTACCGTACTATGGCCAGCCGGCTCTAGACAAACGCCGTGCGAGCTGCTCTGCGCGATTGCTTGTCATACACCACATCAAATAGGTCCACTAGCTCGTTTATCGTGCTGCGCGGCCATACGGCAGGGTCACAGGGAGAATGGGAAGCAGTAAATGATGGACGGGGGGAGGCGAGTGGTGTAGCGAGGACAAGCAAACGTGAAATAGAAACGAGTTAGCATGGAAAACAAAGAGGGAAACAGGTGGGGGATGGAAGAGGCGAGGAAACAAGCGGGGCACGGAATAGGAGGGAATTTGAAAGAGGAAAATAACGGATAAATGACGTACTTCGTTGATTTGGTGATACTGGCGAGGTATGTCATGAGGAGTGTATCATTGAATTCCTGTAGAAGGGCAATAGTTGGGGAGTAGACAGACAAGAAGACAGACAGAAGAAGTCTTACAAGGAGTTAAAGAGACAAAGTATCTAGATGAAACAAAGAGAAGTATTGAAACAAAGCATCTAGATGAAACAAAGAGAAGTATAGAAACAAAACAGCTAGATGAAACGCAGGAACAGGGCAAGCGGAATGACGAAACGGAGGGACGATGGTGGGAAGGGGTAACAGCGGCAGGTGTATGGTCAGGCTGTCGACAGGGGTGTGGGGGTGAGTGGGTGGGTAGGCAGGTGGGTAAGCACAGGGGTGGGGAACAAGGGGGAGAGGGAGGGAGAAAATGAGTGGTATTGGGGGTTGATGTAGAGGAGTGGTGTAGAGGGGTGGTGCAGGGGGGCGGTGCAGGGGGGTGGTGCAGGGGGGCAGTGCAGGGGGGTGGTGCAGGGGGGCAGTGCAGGGGGGCGGTGCAGGGGGGTGGTGCAGGGGGGCGGTGCAGGGGGGTGGTGCAGGGGGGCAGTGCAGGGGGGTGGTGCAGGGGGGCAGTGCAGGGGGGTGGTGCAGGGGGGCAGTGCAGGGGGGTGGTGCAGGGGGGCAGTGCAGGGGGGTGGTGCAGGGGGGTGGTGCAGGGGGGTGGTGCAGGGGGGCAGTGCAGGGGGGTGGTGCAGGGGGGCAGTGCAGGGGGGTGGTGCAGGGGGGCAGTGCAGGGGGGCGGTGCAGGGGGGTGGTGCAGGGGGGCGGTGCAGGGGGGTGGTGCAGGGGGGCAGTGCAGGGGGGTGGTGCAGGGGGGCAGTGCAGGGGGGTGGTGCAGGGGGGCAGTGCAGGGGGGTGGTGCAGGGGGGCAGTGCAGGGGGGTGGTGCAGGGGGGTGGTGCAGGGGGGTGGTGCAGGGGGGCAGTGCAGGGGGGTGGTGCAGGGGGGCAGTGCAGGGGGGTGGTGCAGGGGGGCAGTGCAGGGGGGTGGTGCAGGGGGGCAGTGCAGGGGGGTGGTGCAGGGGGGCAGTGCAGGGGGGTGGTGCAGGGGGGTGGTGCAGGGGGGCAGTGCAGGGGGGTGGTGCAGGGGGGCAGTGCAGGGGGGTGGGTGGTGCAGGGGGGCAGTGCAGGGGGGTGGTGCAGGGGGGCAGTGCAGGGGGGTGGTGCAGGGGGGCAGTGCAGGGGGGTGGTGCAGGGGGGCAGTGCAGGGGGGTGGTGCAGGGGGGGGTGCAGGGGGGTGGTGCAGGGGGGCAGTGCAGGGGGGTGGTGCAGGGGGGCAGTGCAGGGGGGTGGTGCAGGGGGGCAGTGCAGGGGGGTGGTGCAGGGGGGCAGTGCAGGGGGGTGGTGCAGGGGGGGGCAGTGTAGGGAGTTGGTATAGAGTAGAAGGGAGGGCGCACGGTGAGGAAGTGGCGGTGAAAGCGGTCGGAGTCGACAGCTGGCAGCCTGCGAATGAGGCTGGACACCTGGCGCGTCACCGAGTGGTCGTACGGCACTGCACCTGGTGGGTGCACAGGGGAACAGTCGAGGGTGGAATTCTGAGATGTCTCAAAACCTAGCGCGTCACCGCGTGGTCGTACAACACTGCGCCTGATGGGCGCAGCGGGGAACAGTTGCGGGTGGGTGGAACACGGGGACAAGGGCGAGAGATGTTGGCGGGAGAAATTGGAACGGTGGGAGGCGGGGGGGGGGGGGGGGAGGGGAGAACGAGGAGGGGATGCAGTAGGGAATAGCTGCAAGGGGGAAAAGAGGGGAAAGGAAACTGGGGGAAGAGAGAAGCAGGAAGAGGGAAGAGATTGGGGAGGGGAGGGGGGAGTGATGGAGAGAGGGAGAATGTCGAAGGATGCTGTACAATGCTGGTTTGGGCTTCGCTCGATTTGACTTGGCTTAGGCTCGGTTTGGCTTGCAATAGGCTCGATTTGCTTGGATTAAGCTCGGTTGGCTTGGATTAGGCTTGGTTTGGCTTGGCTGTAGGCTTGCTTGGGTAGGTGCAGTACCTGATTCCATGGCGGCTAGATGGCTGTGCAGTAGTCTGACCCGCGTGGTTAGCATCTTGATGGCACTGTGCATCCCTGTTAGGTGTGCTGCCACTGCCAGACGCACAGGGCATGCATGGGCAGACAGAGGGCACACAGGGCGCACAGGGGCACGCAGGGCGCACAGGGGCACGCAGGGCGCACAGGGGCACGCATGGGCATGCAAGCATACACAGAGATAGACACCAAAACACACACACACACACACAGATGCACGAGTGTGTGCATGACACGCATGCACGGCAGTGATGAAGACATGCACGGCACATGACCACAATGGACGGCACATACAAGAACAGAGAGAACGATTGCCCAAGCATGTGCATGCCTGAACATGTGGATGCCTGTGCATGGAAATCACTCTTTTAACCGAATGAACGCCTGCATGGTATGGCATGGTACGAGCTGGTATGGTGTGGTACGGGCTGGTATGGTGTGGTACGGGCTGGTATGGCGTGGTACGGGCTGGTATGGCGTGGTACGGGCTGGTATGGCGTGGTACGGGCTGGTATGGCGTGGTAGGGCGTGGTAGGGCGTGGTATGGCGTGGTAGGGCGTGGTATGGCGTGGTAGGGAGTGGTATGGCATGGTAGGGCGTGGTAGGGCGTGGTAGAGCGTGGTATGGCGTGGTAGGGCGTGGTATGGCACGCCTGGTGGCTCACAGTGAGTGGCTGCTGAGCTGCCATCGGAGGGCTTGATGTGTGCCACGTGGTCCACTGATATGCGCTCTGCTTCCACCGTCTGTTGACCACCAATCGCCCACAGAGACACATGCACATGCACACACATGCACGTGCACGTGCACATGCACATGCACACGGATGCACATGCACATGCACATGCACACACATGCACACACATGCACATGCACACACATGCACATGCACACACACATGCACATGCACACACACACACACACACACACACACACACACACACACACACACACACACACACACACACACACAGAGCACATACACATGCACAAACACACACACACACACACACACACACACTCACACACACACATGCACATGCACATGCACACACATGCACATGCACACACACACACATGCACGTGCACATGGACATGCACACACATGCACGTGCACGTGCACATGCACATGCACATGCACATGCATATGCACATGCACACACACACACACACACACACACACACACACACACACAGCACATGCACAAACACACACACACACACACACACACACACACACACACACACACACAGCACATGCACATGCACAAACACACACACACA